ACGTAGTCCGATGGCATGTTGAATGTTTAAGTTGTTGGGCGAGTGATGTGAAAGTATGTGAATGAAGTGAAATGAGATGAAAGTATCACTTATTTAAATACTCCCAGATAGAAAGATTTGTCGAAGGCTGTTTACTTTCGATGATAAAGATTCATCAAACGTTGATGATCGGCTAAGTAAGGTAGGAGGCATACTGCGAACGCGTGGTGATAAAATATATTGCTAGCGTAAAAACTTTTATCCCAACTATGATAAGGAACAAATATGTGGAGATCACGCTGTTGACCATGGTAAAGAGAGAGAGGGAGAGAGAGAAAATGCGTGCACTTTGACCAGTTGATTTGAAGAAACAAATCGACAAGGTAACATTCTCGCAAGTGATCGATAAGATAAGAAAGTGAAAACGTGAAAGTATGCTTTGATCTCACCGATTATCGGTCGATCGTAATCAGGGATCATTTCCAAGCGAGAACAACTCAAACAAGACGATGAGTAAATTATTGTTGATGTTCTTTTCTAGTCATACTTAGTTATCTTCAAATAATGTAAAGATATTTTTGAGTACGAAAGACACATACTAGCGGACTGAGTTAACTCTAAGGTCACATAAAATGAATACCATAAAATGATATCAGATAAGAAAAGGAGCGCATGTATACACCAGTATTTAAATATAGTTTAGAGGCCGCGTAGTGGTAACCAATTGTGCACTGCAATGTCATTCCAAAGGTATATGAGTGCGACTCGATCGAAATATTTGGCTCTAACTATCTTAGTAAACTTCTCTCATGAAACTATTGTTCTGAAAAGATGTCACTGCTAATACTCTTGGCAAATCAGTCTTGTTGGGTACGAGAAAACCAATAGGCTTGGCATTGTATAGCATACATACTGCTGATGCCAATAGTACAAACAAAGTTCTCTGAGTACGATCTATGATATAATGTATCTGCGGCACGTTTTTCCGAGCGTCAAAAGGCTTATTCTGCCTCGTGTACAAGTAAACTCTAAGACGATTGATCAATCAATTTATCGAACTTTAGCACATGCACACAAAAACAAACTCGAAATATCTGAAGTTAGAAGAGCACCTACCGAAGAAGCCGATGATGAAAACGGGTTAAAAGCCGTTGTCGAAACAGCAGCTGCTCGTAAAGCACGTGAAAAAGCCGAATGGGATCGTTTATCGTTCATCGAAAAGATTGTCAAAAAGTTTTTTCCGTCTCAAATTAATTCGATTGCCATTCTAGTAAGTACCATCTCATATTTTGTTGCTTTCACAATCCATTTTCTTTATACTAGATTATTGCTGGAGTTGGTTATGTCATATATGAGCAAGTCAAAAATGATTACGAGATAAAACATACATTTAGTAATGGTTCATGTCCGAATTTCAAATTCAAAGAAGAGCAATTGTTAGAAAGAAGAACGCTGTTAGATCAATTGATAAAGATTGTCACACCTGTTCCTGATAAACTAGTTTCCTCGTATTATATTGTACTCGGTGAACATGGATCTGGGTAAGAGAAATTGCTAAATCATACGATTTCTTCTGACTGTAAAGTTTAGAAAATCAACATTGATTCGACAAGCAGCACGAGAGGTTGGACCTGGCGTTGTTTATGTCGATGGTTGATTGATATCTGAATGTAGATATGTTCATATTTATGTATTATTTTTTAGTTCCATCCAACGTTGAAAAATTTGGTTTCGCATTTGCTCGAGCCATAAGATTTAATTTTAAAGAGCATATTCGTCTATCAACATGGATTGAATCGAAAATGTTCGGTTCACCTCCCGATGATGGTATGGCTCCATCCCGACGAAACAAGTTTCTTCATACGTATTTGCTTTTCAGGGAAGGAAGCTAGTTGGGAGCGTGTGCTGCAAACTTTTGAAAAATATGCACTCAATTACAAGAAGAAATACGGATCCGTACCGGTATTAATCTTTGATAGCTGTGATTCACTTGCAAATAAAGATCCAAAAATGCTAGAAATATTACAAGACACTGCCAAAACAGCAATTGATGATTCAGCGTGGATTACCGTTTTTATTACTTCCGTTGGAAATGCCCCAGAGCAGATGGAAGGTTGATAGAACACATTCTTTTCATCCATACATGCGCTATATCTCAATCTCTGTATGTTTAGGTCGAAGCAGTATCACACGAGCATCGTCTTTCATCGAAATATCTGATCTGACAAAGGATGAAGTAATGACTTATCTAATCGAGAAACGAGGTCTTTCCAAAGAAATGGCACAATCTATTCACGATCTTTTCGGTGGACGAATGAAAAGTTTACAAAATGCTGCATCAAAGTTAGATAGTGGCGTTCCATTCGAAGGTAAATTCTTTCCATACGAAGAACAAGAGAAGAAATCATCGACATGCTTTTGTTTTTCAGCCATTCGACGCTCAACTTTACAAGATACGGCACGTCGGATTGAAAAAATCAAGTGCCGAGCTACGACGCAGGAGCAAACTTTCTTATTCAATGTTCTCTGCGGTTTATTGAACCAACCTGAGCTCACCGTTGATCAATTGATTGAATTAGAGAGCGATGTGATCGTCCGACAAAAGATTCTCGATGAACTACGCAATGAAACTCTCCTGATACGGTCAGCTTCGACCGGTTCATTTATTTATCATAGTCAAGCAATTCGAGTATGCGTTGAAGAATACTACAAAGATAAATGTTTACATTGCAATGCCAAAGGAATGTAATTTCGTGTGTCTTTCTGTGTATTTTCTTTGTTTGTGTATGAATTTTTACTGATATTATTTTTCTTTTTTCCTAGCTATGTTGACCGAGAGAAAATGAGAACTAAATATAACGATAATCAAGCTGGAACTCAGGCGACAGAGTCATGTATAGACAGTTACTCTGTTTAAATACATCTTTTTCTATTAGCAATGATTGCTATCATTGAGCACAAGCCGACCAAGGGCTTTGATTTTTCTCTGGTTTTCTTTACATTCATATCATAGTTGTTGTATCAAGCGATCGATAGGCACGTGAAAGAACTTAAGAGGATGCCATTTTTCCTGGACTTGAATTCGTTTATTGATTAACAATCAATATAAAGCGTAGGACTTTTCTCAAAAATTCGATGTTTGTTATCGTTTAAAAACGACTTACCATGAATCAGAGGAAGAACAGCCGAAATCGATGACATAATGTTTGTCAATGGCATATATAGACCTTATGACATGATTCTTAATGTATATCTTGTGGACAAGATTGGATTCCTTCGATTTTGATTAAATGACTTATTAAGTCACCCTGAACTTCTGACTTTGACCAGACAAAATCAAGAATTCCAATAAAGTTGTGCCATAAGTCGTCAGACGATCCATTTCGTGGAATGAAAAACTATTCTAATTTCATAATCTTTCTTAAGTTCTAAAACGTGTATTATGTTATCTCCAATGGTAGTAAATTGCTGAAATGGTTATTAAGCATACTAAAATCTTTATCTCCACAAGAGTGAAGTCCAATACAGTATTCTGTGCTAGAGACAGGTTAAGCCGTTGTTACAGGACTGTACCATTTGTTTACATTCTGGTCGACATGGTTTTGATTGGCAAAACTTCGATGCATCATAACAAGTACCCCTATGTTTCTCGAGGCATGGATGGCATCATAGTAGTTCAATGACTCAAGAGAGGGTGTATATCATAGCACAAATATGAAAGTTCTTGTATACTTTGGTGCACTAATTTGAGTTCTTTTTGAATCCCGCCTAGATATTCACCCAGGTCCCTGATACTCAATGGGAGGACACCGCGCGTGCTTTCAAAAATTTAAATTTTTCAACGGTGTGGGTTCTAGTATAGAGTAGTTTCGGTGATTGTGTAAACTATAAGAGATTTATTGAATGTTAGTGTTAAAGAAAATGATTTTTCCATGTTTGTCAGAGGTTCAACTCTCTTGAGAGGTAAAGAGAGCAAGTGTTAGCATAAATGAGTAATATCCGTGCATTGAAGACTTCGCTACAAATACTTTTTGATCTGACTTGATTCTACTTGCCCATCGTGGTTAAATGATAGCCGCTACCATGAAACTACTACTGATGCAATTCTTGATGTGTACCTGTGAGCACAACAAGAAAACACGTAACCCACTTTTTCACGGATACTTTACGTGAGAGTTTGGACTTTGTTGCGGTTTTACCTGAATCAATAACAATGTAAGAAGGAATGAAGAGCAACACCGGAAACAAGTAACCAAGCCAAAGGTGGGCATGATTGGCCACCGCCCAAACATCTATCATTTCCTAAAACTGTTTTTCACAACGAAGGTAATGAAGTACTACACACTTACATTCACTCACTCGTGCCGTCTCTTAAATACAATTAGATGATATAATTCAGTGAATAGATATCTAATCGTCATCTTCCGGGTTGGTGCGTTCTTTATGATTGTATTCGATACGTTGGATGAACTAAATCTCTCAATATATTTGGCAAACACCCCCAATGACATTTCAGTCGTGTATAATTTACTGTAACAAAAAGTAGAAAATTACCGATGGCAATAATCGTTGTCTGAGATTCTCATAAACAAAAAAAAATAGCTGGAATCTACAAGGTGTAAAAGTTTCTCTTGTGACCGTATTCGACAATATCATCAATCTTCTTTCGCTTCTGAGGCGCTTCATACAGCTAAAAAGGGTTTAATATATCTCTTGTGAATGCGTAAAGCTTTATTTTTCAAATGCTGTGTTCGAAATGATTATCACATCGTCTGTACTGCAAGGATCTAACTGTTCATTCATCAATTGGCTTACTTGAAAGCTTGTGTGACAAATCTAATCATATTATGTTCCCTTGATGTCATTCGTGAAATATAGCAGAAGATTTGAGTAGATATATTTAACCTTATCGGTATTAGAAATTATAGAGCGAAGGAGAGAAAAGGTAGAATGAAATTACTGGAATAGATTTTGTATATATACGATCTGAAACAGTGTATGGAAATGTGAAGACGAAGGCAATGTCAACGAAAACACATACACGAAGTCATTCTACTAAATTTTACAAGCGCATATTCAATAAGCATCCTTTTGATTCATCTCGTCAACCAATTGATTCCAATATCGATCTGAATCAAGCGAAGGTTACTCAGCATACCCAGATCGATGAACAGGCATCTTCTTATCAAAACCATCCTCATCAACATCGTCTATCAATAAAAAGTTTGACAACATCATTCGACCGATTTCCTTCATGGCACAATATTTTAAGTAGAAAGACGAGTTCAGCTTCGACCTTTTGTGGAGAAACTATTAATGACTTAGCTTTATGTATCGAAGGATGTCAGATAAGAACTATTCACCAACAGCACCAACGCCGCGTGTTTTCTCTAACTCAATCTCGTCTCAATTCTTTATCGAAACGATCGCCAATAAATTTAACCATGTAAAGTTTAATGAAATATTTCATAAGATCTCCATTTCACCTTTTAGAACTTACCCATCGAGAGAGAATTCGGATGAATTCCAACCATCGACTTCACCATTACCAAACAATAGTCAATCTCATTCGACAAACTATCTATCAATCACACGATTAGTACCAACATCACTAGCTGGCTCTTACGATCATCTTCTAACGAACCAGGTCAATGTACCTCTCTCGACTTCATTTCATGTCACAAGTCAGCAATCGTCAACTTCTAAAGAACTTTCTCCGGACCTTACAATAACAAAAACCACATCAGCAAATTTCTATTATGTACCGGCTTCCGATTCATTAGTTTTCAATAACTTAGTCGGCACAAGTCTAACTGCACTCGTACCACTTCACTCGACAAATCATGAATCGAAGAATACAATTATTTAACTCGTTTTTCTCCCCGCACTATCTACTTCATCCAACAGAGCACGGAATAAAAACTTTTGCGCTGGATATTTCATGCGAAATGATATTTGCATTGATCTTTTCCTTCGATCGCCTGCCGTTGACAAATTCCACCATAAATTCAAGAAAATGAGGCTGTTTTTGTGTTTGACATGAAATACTGTTCTAAACAAAGGTCATAAATTATCTTCTCATAGGCGATATCTATATTCAATCATTTCAAATAATCATGTATACATTAGAAAAAGAAAGAAAATTTTCAGTTCATAAACAAGAAAAAAAAAGAAGAAGCAAACAGAGAGCATAGAATTGGGTTTAGAAACCACAGTAACAATTCATTTCTAACACGTACATAACGACACAGAGCGAAAGATACGAACAATAACAACATCAATGAAGTCAAAATAAAGAAGTTTTTTTTTCTGATAAAATAAGAAAGAATTGTGATCATTATGTCAGTTCTGATGAGATTCGAATGAAAAAGTTTCAGAGACAAACAATTGAATACGATGAGAAACAAATAAATAAAGTGCGCATGAATATCGTCGATGTCAAAAGCAAATTCTAGCGATGATGTTCCATACTCACATCATTCTCATCAATTTCATCCAATGTTAAATCAATAACATCATCGTCATCGTCAAGTTTCGATTGATGAATTAAGTCATGTACACGTTTTTGATAAAGTTCTTTGTTGTTCTTTGGATTTAGAAAACGTCGAAGTACGCTTGACGTCGTTTGCTCTTGACGATAGGTTTCAGAATGTATCTGTATCAATGCTAATTTACATTCATTTAAATCGAACTCTGTATAAGTAGTTAATTGTTTCAGAATGCTCGTAGACATAGGTTTGAGGTTGAGCAATTGGAAGGCAAAGACAAGACAACTTGCAGCGATTAATGACGAACGATAGGAGGAAAATGGTCGATCATGTAAAAGTGTTAAAGTGCATAAATAAGTTGATAACAACATAAGACATTGTTGAGTGTCGTCATCAAGGTTAATTGATGTCGACGATTTTAAATGAGTCAAATAGTATTGGAGAAATGTGTATGAAGTGGGCCCGGAAAGGGAAAAATTCAACATCTATCAAAGGAGAAAACATACAATTTCGTTTGTCTTTTCCGGATCAAAGCCTACTTTAATAACGATTTGTTCCATGCGGAGAATATGTTTGGAGTCATAGGTGTTGTCCGTAATGAATGAGAATTCCTCCAATGCTGGCGGGTACATTTCTTCGTATTTTGCTGCGACATACATGCAAGTTGTACCTAAATTTGCTTCGCATGTGATTATCTTTTCTCGATGGAAAGATTTCAACTAACCCAGCAATTGTAGTTTCGATCGTGTAACATTGACTGTTGATAGAAATCGATCGACATATTGTACACAGAGAAAAAGTGTGTCATTCGTCAGTTTGTATTCATCGGTCACTTCGACAAGCCAGTCGACAAGAACAGTTCGCATACTTGCATTCACATCCGATTGATTTTTCATGAAGTTTGTTTCTAAAAAGCCAAACATACACAACGATGGAATATTGGATAGGAAGGGAGGGAAACACTTACTTGGAGCATAGGCGTGCTCTACTGATCGTAAATGATCGAATATCGATTGACGATAATCAGATCTAGGGAAATGAAATAAGTTTAAAAGCAAATTTTAATATCTCAAATTCATTGTCACATCACAGAGGAGTAGAATCTTTTAAGTATAATCCAGCCAGGATTTACTTCAATATCATGTATTAAATTTTTCAATAAAAGAAATGGCATTGCATTATGCTACTTCGAGATGAAATGTCCCTATTGGAAAAAATCTATTATTAAACAACGCTAATGCCGTTGTGAACTTTGCTACCAACTAAGTTCTTTTGTACTAACACTTACAATTCATACAAATCTGCTTCACATTGTTCACGCGTTTTGGTCTTTGTCTGTTCAACAGTAGACGCATTTGTTTTGTCAACCATGGGTGATATAAGCATTTCCACGTCATTTTCGTTGAATTGAGATTTGATTAAACGCGTTGCAGTTAGAATTGGCCTTGATTTTACCGAGATTTTCGTATTCGCTATTGCTACTGATCGGTTTTCTTGTTGGACATGAAGATTCGTCTTGTCTATACACAGATATTTCTGATGTGATGAAACATCTTGTAGTGGAAGTCGATTGTGTGTTGGTCGCAAAACTTGCCGGTTGAAATTCATCTTTCGAACGAAATCTTACGTCTTACTTGAACGAATCTTTTTTCTATTCTAAGTACTTTGGAGCGTACTGTCTGATGATATATAATAGACAACAAAGAAAGAATCAACTGTGCGCATTATGGTCTGGTTGCCTTTGTTAAACAAAGCGCTCGTTTGTCCTTTCAGCCAATAAATCATCCAATGACGAGAGAGTGCGCTACACGGTATACATACGCATAAAGTATTCATTTTCATTAGCGATGAGTGACATATCTCATTTGCATGAATGATTGTAGTACCGTGAGGAAAAACAGAGACATATATTCTTTTGCTTCAAATGTTAAGATGAGAATTAGTAAATAGAATTGTAAAAACCTTAGGTAAGAAACCTGATCGTTTCTTTTCTTGGAACATAGATTTCTCTGTGCGACAGAAATCACTAATAAAATAGAGATACAATGTCACTGAAAGCTTGTTTCTATCCGTTCTCTATTTCATCAGATGACTCTGAGTGCTTCAAGGAACTATCGCCGATTGAGTTATTATCTCGACAAGGTGATCTGCTTATGGTTTCAGCTAAGTAATTCGTAAGAAACGTTGTCTGTCAATTATACGAGGAGAACTAATGTCTATTTCTCTGATGTGCTTCAGTTTTCTTTAAAAAGAACTGTTTAAGGTCTCAATTATAGATGAGATGGTCTCTTGAATTTGAAACAATTTAGGACTTTTCATACTCTGTCTGTTCTAGTTATTTCTAATAGAATACACAAATGAGAAACATTGTGGAAATAAAATGAATACCATGATGATAAATTATTCAAAATGTGTGATCTCTGCGTCACCGATTTCTTTTGTTAAAACACTGTGCTTTGTGTTTAACAGGAGATTTATGAAGATGAAAAAATACAATTTTTCGGTTTTGTGGAACAAAATATACAAATCATAGTTTAGCCCAATCCTGACGCTTTTAAATTTTCATCGATTAGAATATTATTAGCGACACCATAAAAAAATACTAATTGTCCTTGAAAATATTGCCGATCGATAGCTTTGCATACACCACAACGTCGATAATTAAAACCGCGATTACACGTTAAGAACTTCTCCCAAATTATTTCATCAAATTCCGGATCACCTTCTGTGTTCGTTTCATCGTCAATGTCAATAGTAATTTTGTCTTCGTCTTCAAAGTCTTTGCTTAAAACGGGATCGTGTTCGCGAGCTTTCCTACACGAGCCTTGCCGACTATGAGTTTTCGAACGATTTGTCAATGCATCGTAGCCACCATCGGGCAGCAAAGCTTTTGTCAAAACAGTTCGAACGTTTTTCGTTAATTCATACCATTCTTGAGGATCTTCTTCGTAGAGTAACTCATGCGAAGTTTTCGAACGGTAACGTCGATCGTGTTTCAAACGTGCTTTCATACGTGCGAATAACTTCACTAAAGAAAATGATTGAGCATTGCCAAGTCCATCATCATCGTCGTCATTGTAATAAATGGTTGGAGGTATTCGACTCAGATTGGTTGGATATGCTGGGCTATTATTATTTAGGTCATTAAATGGCGAGCACCGTTGTCTTGCTGAAGAGAATGAACGATCAAGTTCGTTGCTATTCACGTGATTTTTATTTCGATTACGATGATGCGTCGTTTCACTAATAGACGAGTACTGACGGACGAAGGACGATTGATTCACCTGCTTTTCTTTCTCTTTTTCATGCTGAATGGAACTGATAGCATTCGTGGTCGGAGAATAACGCAAAACACCGCATCGTTCCGTTAAGTAGCGATAGTTTTCAATGAGATCGTCTTCGGTTTCTTCGATTTCTTCATCATCATCGTTGCCACTAGTTCGTCGAATTGTGGGTGCTCGAAGAGCCATACGGATAAATGTTTAAAATTAAAGCGATTTTTAAACAAGTGAAAGAAAAAGTCTTCTCAGTCTTTTTGTCACTCGTCTATCTCTTTCTTTCTATTTTTTAATAATATTTTATACACTGATGTCAATGCTGTCAGCTCAATGTTATGGATGTCGTCTTTTCTTTTTTACCTTGCCGTTGTTGATATATACTTTGACGGAACTATTCGCATAAGAGTAAAAGCGGAACTTCTCATAATATTTTGAAAAGCGATGATAATGTGACGGAAAAACGGGAGAATCATGTCAATGAGAAAGAAAGAGCAGAAGACGACGACGATGATGATGACGAAGCGAGAAGAAATAGGAGAAGAAGAAGAAACGAACATCCACAGACCATATTGTTGATGCTTTAAGCTTGGGCTTAATATTTTCAGTAAGAAAACACTCTCATCATCACGTTTTTTTCTTTCCTTCAGGTTTTCTATCTTTAATGTGTTTTCTTTTGTTTTTCCTTTTCCTGTTTATAATTGTTACATTTCAAGTCTCAAATAGTTCTAAAGAAATGAAGGAGTAAAAACTAACATGTCTCGAAACTTTTGCTGATTATAAAAGAAACCATTTACTTAATGAAACATCCGAAGAAGAATAGGAAACAAAGGATCGGTAAATCCTGTTCTTTTTATAAGTATGATAATTATCACACAATGGCTCAACGCTTTGATCCTTCTATCCACCTATTAATGTAAAAGTGAATAGTTTCTCGACGATTTACGCTTATATTGTGCATTCAGCGGCGAAAATTTAAAGAGCTATTTATTCATTTACAAATATTTTCAACTTTGATGGGCACATTTACACGATCTGTCCAAGAAACGTATGTGTCGCAACCATGACCGCACAATTCTATAGGATGAAATTACGGATTCTCTTCTTGAGCACTTACGAGTGATCTCAAAAAGAATAGAAAATGAATTGATAGAGAGATTAGTCGAACCATTTTAGATTAATAGAAGATTTTCTATTAGTCCGAGACAACAGTGAGACATCATAGCGTTGTTCCGGTAGACGTAGATCTGGCGCGCGATTAATAATCAAGCCGAGTGTGTTCGGAATAGAATCTTTGTTTTTAAGTGAAACATTCACTTCTAAAAAGTATTTGATTAACTGAGAAATGTTCAATACATTTGAACTAATTTATATTCATTCTTGCAGTCTATTTTTATAATACAATCCAAAAAGAAAGAAAGGGATAAAGATATAACCCATCTGACATACATAAATGATCATACAGACACGAAAATATATGTAATTTTGGTTAGAAATGGAGAATAATTATTCCTGTCCGTGAAGTAGACAATATGCACCACGCATATTTTCTATTTGATGTTCAGCACAAAATGAACTTAAACAATCTGCACAAGCTATAGTTGCATCAATACCACATATATCACAACGATGTGATGGACATATCCATTTTTCTGAAAAAAAAAACGAACAGTGGCATGATTAAATAGACCGAGAGGATGTTTTTAGTGAGTAAACGTACGTGATGGCGAACGATGTCGAAATGATTGTCCTTTGACTTTTACGCATTTAGGATGAAATTTTCTTGTACATTTTGACATTTGACATGCTATTAATTGGCCTGTCAGACCACAACCAAAGCAGGTGTCAGCGTCGTGATCACCGGTTATATTTGATGTGCGTATACGGTTCTTATTACTATGTCGGCCGTTTGCAGTTCCGTTGGAATTCGATGCTGATGATAAAGATAAATCATTTGCAGATGAAACCTAAATGATAATCTTCTGTAATGAAGAAGCTGTTTCAAATTTCTTCGAAGATATCTACTCCGCCGAGTTTTTTCGAGCGACCCATAAAGCCGGTGCATGTTTCGGCTCCACAAAGGCAATGAAATATTGTGTCACCACGAAATTCCGATTCAACACCATATTCAAAAGTTAGTTCTTCACCTACATTGAAGAAAAAGAGTACGTCGTCTTCGTCTCTGTTATGAGATATATTTACCAGCTTCAATGGCTCGTATGGCAAATAATCCAACACGTAGGTCTCCGCTGATATTCCATTTTTCCGTACGTAAATTTGGATCACAACTGTGATTAGCAAATCGGGAGAGATTTCCACGTGGACCGGCGTCAATAACCCTAGTGAAAGTTTCGTGCAACGACATCCTCAACACGTATTACAAATTAGCATACCGGTCTTTGTCAAGAACAAGAAAATAAAAATCTTTTACATTATTCTTTCGAGCTAATTTAACACGTCGTTCGGTTTCTTCATAAGTTATCAATTCGCCGAGATATTCATTGACAAATTCGCCCTATATTTTTCATATCGAAAAATGAGATTAGCAGAGCATTCATTGTATATATTACTTCTTTGATGGGTACTAATGCTCTTAAACCCCATCCCCGACCAGCTGTCCAAAATACTTGCTGAGCTGGATAATTACCTATATAAAAAGAACTCTTCTTTGGATACAATTTCCGGCTCACTTCTGTACTTACGTTTCTGGAAACGCTATTGGTTCGAAATAGAATAAAACGATTAGGTTAAACTCAATGTATCATTTCACCAAAATGTTTACCTGATTTTTGCATTTGTCACCTAAATATACAGAAAAGAGCTCATTAACAGTTCGGTTTTTTCCTATAATATGAACTGATTGGTAAAAGTCGTCATCGTTCGAAAGTTCACTGAAAACATAGTGCTTATACTCATATTTCCATCTGAAAAACTTTTGCTAATTATTTAGTAGACGGCTCGAGTCCTATTTCCTCACGATAATTAGATTGAATTTCATTATATTCGATTCTCGAACTCATCTATTCGAGTGCACTTACCAGCAGCACAAACATGTGGATGACATTCATATTTAAGCATTCGATTTAGACAATGTTCGTCTGAACTGCATGGATCTGGTTTATTGGGATCACAGTCACAGCGAGATATTTCCGATAATGGTAATCGAAGTATTTGTGCTTCACCAATCGGTTTCAAAGTCTTGATGAAAAGGAAAACAATGCGAGAAGATGTCGAAGAGAATCGAAGTGAATACTTTGATATGTCTATAAACAGGCATTTGTCCATGTTTATTGGCACTTCGATCAATTAATTTTGATCTTCCATTTGTTGTTGATGTCTTTTCCTGTTCATTGTTAATTGATTCGTCAGAGTTCATTTCCACTGAATCTTCATCTGTGTCTTCATCGTCATCGTCGTCTTCGAATTCATCATAAACATCATCCAATGTCATTTCTTCAAGTTTTGTTGCTTCACCGTAGTTTTCCACTGGATTATTCGCATAAAATTGTTTAATACGAGTATAGAGACGCGTTGCTTCTCGAAGACCTAGCGATGAGAACAAATTTTTCTTATCGATTCTTTGACTAGGAAAATTTACCATCTTTAAAAGTTTGTTCGGTATGTTGATAGTCACGAGAATCAATTCCTTTGACACAGCGAGTCTCGAAAGGCAGATAGTGGTGCTTGTTAGCCCAGAAGAATTCTTTAGATCCAAAGAATTGTATTAGAAACTCGCCAACGGTACGTTCTTGAGCTAGAAGATTGTCCGGCGCATGACGCTCATGCAAGATTCGACTTGGCCAACATCTAACCGCAAACATTCGTCTTTTTAACAGATATGACATAGTCTTACCGATATTTGCCCATTTTTATCCAACATATATCGCCATAGAGTGGCTTTAAGCCACTCGTACATGAGTCACATTTCCAACTCGTTGGCTTTTCATCTTCGTTCGTCGTCGGCAAACACGATTGATGAATTGTTGCAGGACATTCAACGCAAATAAAGCATTCGGCGCCTCGAGTTATCTGTTCACATATGCAACAATAGGGAGCAGCAGCACAGCGTGCTGGTTTTCGTTCGACTGGTAAGTGATTAGGACAACATATCGATGAAGAATACGAGAGCGACAATGAACCAGCTGGCAGACATCGTTCATGACCATGGTAGGCTATTGGACAATATAAACAAGTAAATACATGACCTAAAAGCAAGGAAACATTCTATAGAAAAATCACTTCGATTTTGCTCGTAACCAACCGATATTGCTATTAAGTCGTTTATGCAACGAACATGTTGCACAAGTGTGAAGTGGACAATAGTAAACACCGGGCGAAGGTGATGTCATTAATTTTGAATTCGTTAAACATGAGGAATGATATATTCGATTACATTGATTGAATGCACATGTTAGTTCATCTTCTCTAATTGGTTTTTCACATATCATACACAGTAAACGATCTTGAAGTTTGAAAAAGAAAGAGAGAGAGACGAAAAGGTAACGTTTAATTATCTGCTAGATGCTCATTTTCAATATACTTGCTAAACAATCGGGACAAATAACTGTTTGCTGCTCATCGAAGATATTGACACATTCGCGATGAAAATAATAACGACATTTGCCTTGACATGGAGTTGTGTATGAAGCCAGACCACACACATGACAAGCTGGGTTATATACAATTTCTTGATCATCTCCGTCACTTTCGTACTAAAAAGGAAATATATGCAAATGAAAAACGAGAAATTCCAATCTACTTCGTCGTCATCATCATCTTCTTCATCTTCATCCATCGGTAGACTGTCAATCGGTGGTGTGTCGTATTCAATAGACAGATTCATATCTGGTGTTTCTGTTTTCTAGAAAAAGAAACACAATCGTAATGGAATGAATTTGGTTTTCTCGATATTTTACAGTTCCATTAGTCAATTCATTTGTAGTCGTTGTCGGTACAGCTGATTCAACAGACATACGATGAACAGGCATCTGGAAAGAAGAAGAAAATGTATTCCAAATCTTCATTAGTAGAACGTTTGTTTTATCATCCAGCTAAATACGTTCAGTAATATAATACAAAGGGAGGGAGAGAAAAAAAACTAAGAAAAGAAATGAGTCATCTTCGCGACCAATCATAACTCCGTAGCAGCACCACCTGCATTCGCTTGTCAAGACTTTCTCTTTTACTCACAGGAA